CTCCCTTCACGCGCTGGGCTCCAGGGCTTCAGGTCTGAAGTAGGGCATCAAATTTTTGATCAGGTCTGGAATAGGGTAGGGAAAATCACAGATTTTAAATCTGAACAAGGGTAAGTGTTTCAGGAAGCGTGCCGCACATCCCCACCCAATTTTTCTGGAAATACCCCCCTGACTTTTTTTTCGTGCTTTTAGCCACAGATCGAGGGTCATTGTGCCAGGCGTTCCTTGCGGACCCCGTAGAAACTGGGACTAAGAATCGTTTCATGATCGAAGCCACGCATGTTTTGCGAATAAAGCTCAGGAAAGATTAAAGAATCCTTAAATTTAGAGCTTTTCCGAAACGAACTCTATCGCTTGAAAGCGTTGATTACTTTGGAACAAGTGAACATTACTGAGTGCTCGAAAAAATATAAGAATCTTAATTAGCAGAATTGCGATGGTCGGGTGTGGTAAACTTTCACTGTATGCAAATGACTCTTGTGATGAGTATGCGATTTATTTTCGGCGATGATCGAAATGAAGTGCCATGTAAATCACTTTTTTTATATCTGGCAATGATGTAATTTCTTTGGAATAGAGGCCCTTGAATTTTCGTGTATTTATACACGCGTATAGCCTGCTTCTGCAGAGGTAATTCTGGTCGTCGCTAACACGCGTACTAAATCAATTCAGAAACAAATAAAAAGTATCGACGTCGACAAAGTAGGAAGTAAAAAACCTTTAGCGAGTAAATCATGTTTCTTGTAGAATTAATCGCCTCAGTTTTGCTAATTAAGATTCTTATTTTTTTTCCGACCACTCAGTAGTGTCAGTAGTTTTCACTTGTTCCAAAGTAATCAACACCTTCAAGCGATAGAATTCGTGAACCGACACGTTTCGGAATAGCTTTAAATTAATCTTTCCTAAGCTTTCTTCGCTAAACATGCGTGGCTTCGATCACGCAACGATTCTTATTCCCAGTTTCCACGGTCTCCCTCAAGGAACGCCTGGCACAGTGACCCCCCTTTTGTGTCCTAAATATAACAAAAGACGCGTTGCAGATTATGAGTCTCACTGCTTACGCAAGCGAGACTAAAAAAATGCAATAATCTGGAAGTAAACAAGGAGAAATTAGCATACGTCATTTCATATAATAGACATATTTAGCCTGCAAACATGCCCCCCCCCTCTCCCCATATCTCTATGTTTTCTCGTTCTCCCGAAGAAAAAAAAAAGATTGCCTAATCACAGTTTTTAAAACTTAAAAGTGGGTACGTTAACCAAACACGTGCAGATGATTTTACCTGTACAATTGTGTCCATCTCCATCGTACCCTGGTTTACAGAAGCAATCGAATGATCCTTGAGTGTTATTGCACCAAGCGTTTTCATGACAGCTATTATTCGTAGCATTGCACTCATCTATGTCTGAAAAACAAAACCCAGTAAATTTAAGGGTGCTGGTACGAGAAACGATAAACATAAACGCTGCAAAAGTGCATTATCTGTCGTATTGGCCATTTCGGAGTTGCGTAGGGAACTGGGGCGAGTTTCAAATTTAAACTAATCGATAAACTGACCCCACCATATAAAAGGTCATGTTGAGATTGGTAATTTGACCACGTTTGGTGCTCTAAGGTTGAACAGGGATCAAGTTATGACTCTTGAAACGTGGTTGAAGAGCTATACAAACCTCTGTAATTTTGTGACAGCGTCCCCCAAAACCATATAAACTCTTTTTTTTTTTCACGGTTTCTGCGATATTTCTAAAAATGGACAACCACAGAGATTTTCGAATTAGTTCCTTCCAAGTAGTAGATGCCTGACGAATTTTACAGTTTAAAAGAAAAACTGAAACATTTTAAAGAGTTTATACACGCGTATAGCCTGCTTCTGGAGAGGTATTTCTGGTCGTTGCTAACACGCGAACTAAATCAATTCAGAAACAAATAAAAAGTATCGACGTCGATACAGTAGGAAGTAAAAAACCTTTAGCGAGTAAATCATGTTTCTTGTAGAATTAATCGCCAGTCCTCATTTCTCGATCTAATCTCCAAGCAGGCGCGACAGAATGCCGCTGTAAGTGCCTTCTTGTTACTACCTACTCATGACAGCTATTATTTGCAGCGTTGCACTCATCTATGTCTGAATAATAAACCCAGTAAATTTAAAGGTGCTGGTACGAGAAAACATAAACATAAACACTGCAAAAATGCATTATCTGTCGTATTAGAGGAATTCCACAAAGTGTTTGTCTGATTATTGGAACAGTATACAAGCACTGCTAATGTGACAATAAACACTTTTTTGTTTTGAAACTCGCTGCCAAGTTGCTTTGCCTCAATAAGAAAGGAACCGCATATATTTAACTTTGGTTTCTAACATGATACAAGGCGTAAAGCATATCATACCAGTAGAATTGTATTCCTATACTTCGAGGAGTCGCTTGCATAATATAGTAGCTCTTCTGTGCTTGTGTGCCTTTTATTTTACTTATTTTTTATTACCAAAATTACTCAAAA